CTGTAAAGCACTTTGAGTGGAGTGTCCAGAAAAGCGCTATATAAGTGTAAGCAATTATTATAATTATTAGTGCATGTTACCCACTATTTTAGTCTATACTGCTTTACAGGAAAATAAAACTGCAAAAAGAAGAAAAAGAGCACAGGCTCAGAGATCAGAGAATGGTGTTGTTAAGTACAAAATCAATAAAAAAATGTATATCTGTTGGATTCCACTGCTAGAAAAAATGATGAGGCAGAATTTTATGTTCTAAGGAGACAAAGATCCCAAATACATTTTACCAAGAATTTGAAAAACATTGTTCAGAAAGCTATATTTGCAAAATAAGAGAAGGCCAAAGCTCAGCGAGTGCCTGTCCTTCAGGGGGCTGATTTCCAGAGACCACGCCCACGTGCCATTGTGTTTAATCTGTTCTTCTGTCTTCTCCAACACAGATAACGTGTGCCATTGCAAAGACCTACCAGCCTCTGAAGCCTGGTGCCCTCTTCCTGTTCCAGACCGCAGCCCTGGGCAGTGTGGGTAAGTCGCCCAGGCCAGAGGCCGTCATGTGCGCCCTCTTGCACGGCCACCAACGCACGGATAGATGTCCAGAGCTTTACTGTAGCGAAGGAGGCCACAGGCTCTGTTTCGCCTGTGTTCCCAAGCCTTGTGGACACATCAAAAACAAGGAAAATCAATCAGTCAGCCCCATCCACCTATAGATGATAGTGTCCATAGTGAGTGTGGTCAGTGAGGAATCAAAGGGTCTTTACCTTGAACGCAGAGCAAAACGTCTGTCCCTGAGACTGCGTTACTATCTTCTGCCTGGGGCTGGATTTCTTTTGTTTCTTTTTCATATCTTGTTGGCTGATCTTTTTTCTAGTTTCTTTGTATTCATTTCAGACGTGAATGCTGTTTTTGTGCTTTAGAACAAGAAGGATACTGAACAGCACTGGCATTCGCATGTCTTCAGTTATTTAATGCTTTGTTTTCATCGTGAACCGATTATAGCAGTTCTTTTGATGGTTGTGCTCACTGGGTCTTCTGCATATGACAGCAGCAAGTCCTGCAGATTCAGAATCCTCTAGCTTGATCTAGTCCAACTGACACCATTGGTGGTCTCCCTTCACTGGCTTCCAGAGAACAGAAGGACTGATCCCAGTTTTAACACAACTTTGCACCTTCGTATCTCAGTGAGCTCCAGGTTTATTTTGGCCAACATGCATCACTGGGTGTCCAGACTGTCATTTGTTATCCTAATCCATCGAGGACCTCTCAGGATTTGGCCCTTCCAGTCTCCTTGATATAAAGCACATCCTCATTGCTAGATCGTTGCCAAACATACAGGGGATTAGAAAGTGAAAATTCTGCAATAAAGTTACAAACAGGAGAAGACCATTTGCCCCATCTTGTTCATCTGTTTGCTAGTA